AAAAAAAAAAAAAAAAAAAAAAAAAAAAAAAAAAAAAAAAAAAAAAAAATGGAGATCGGAAAGTAATAAGTATATCCACGTACATAGTTCCCGGGATCGTTTTTTTTTTTTCATGCTGTATGAACGAAACCATCCCACTTTTCCCCTCTCGAAAACAACATAAGCTTTGGGTGGAATAATAATAGCAACGGGACGAGCCGTGCTAACTTTTCGCACCAGCAGCTGCGCCCATTGACGAAACATCCCCACACGCATATTATGTAACGTGTGTCCAAAACTGTGTGTGGTGTACACACAGTTGGGTTTGGTATTTGAGCATATAATGTGCAGGACTCCCTGCGTGTATTGTGACGTGTACCCAACTGCAGTTTACCAAGAAAATACATCGAGTTATGTATACGTACCTATGGATACGTACATCAAAAAAAAAAAAAAAAAAAAAAAAAAAAAAAAAAAAAAAAAAAAAAGATATATGAGAAACAAAAGCGCTGATAATTGCATCCACACGTATTGTATGAAAATACACACGAAAGGCGACCCCTTCCTTTTTTTGTTGAACCACTATTTTGTATACACTAATCACAGAAAACGCGGTTCGCGCTCCAAGAGTCATCAGGAACGCGTACAATTTGCACATAGATCCCCAGGTATATATGTATACCACCTGGCCATAAATCACTTCCGTTTAGGAGCTAATACATTATATCTACATACGCGGGGATGGGGCTCTTTTGCAATCCTATTATATATCCGCACGCGTGTGTGTGTAGTTATATGTGTAAGTGCACGCATCGCGGGCCCTCATTTGCATGGAGCCCGATGATTATTCAGCGGACGCGTTATCTTTTGCACCCGGGGAGCTAATTGTTCCTCGAGGTGAGAGAGGAAGGGGAGGCCGGAAAAAAAAAAAAAAAACGGAACAGGAAAAAAAAAAAAAAAAAAAAAAGTTTCACTATGGGAGGGAATGCGTGCTTATACGTGGGTATATGCACGTACGAATAAAATGTGTGTCAAGGTGAGAGC